GTCAGCTCTATTTTTCCTGCCTTACCTCTTGCTCCCACTCTTTTATTATATGTGCCGTCTGCACAGGCTGCCTGGAGAACTCGGAGTCTTCTCATAACAGAACCCCGGTAGCTCTGTTTATACCTCAGTTAACACTCTTGTTTGTTTGCTTAATATAACAGTCAGATTAATATGTTTGTCATCTTCTCCTCCTATGGACCATGTCTATCTTCTCATTCTATCCATAGCGCCAGCATGGTGTCTGATATACACAGCAGTGCTCAATAAATCTTTGTGTAGTGAGGTCAGTGAGTGAAGCTGTTTGGGGGTTTTCTGAAGTTTGAAGGTTAAAGCTGGCAGCCCCAGTTGTTTGAGTCCTTTGGGCTTTGTTTTCATGAGTTCTATGGCCGAGGCCTGTAAGTAGAACAAGGTGTCCTAGGAGGTTTTCATGCTTTAATGGTTAGCCTTGTGAATCAAAATTTCATTCTGCTCCAAATGACAAGAAACCTTGCTCTAGGGGTTTAACAGGCAGGTGTGTGTCTCATGCATTAAGTCTGAGGGTCCTCAATACAAGGCCAGTCCTCAAGCTCACTGATGCTGCTGAGGACCCGGGCTCTTTCCACCTTTCTGCTCCACTGTCCTTAATGTGTAGGTCTTCATCCTCATGTTTGGACCTCCTGGTTGTAAGACAGCTGCTGTCCTTCTGGGGCCCATGCCAACATTTGAGAGAGGGAAAAGGAAGAAAAGGAAAAGGTGGGGGTCTTTGCCTTTTCATTCACTAAGGGATGCCCTTTGCGGGGACATACAACTATCACCCCAGCCTGGAAAGCTGGGGAATTGAAGTGTTTGAAGCTTGGCACAATATCCTCCTTAAAAAACTGGGGTTCTGTTAATGAGGAAGAAGGGAGGGCTGGATATTGAGTAACTAACTCGCAATATTCACCACAAAGACAAAAAGTCTTTTTTAGTTTCTTTGTTGTTTTATTCTTCTTTATTGGTCCTACCAACATGACCCTTTGCCTGAGGCCACTCTTTCTATGTACACTGGCTTTGTAGACTTTGTGCCCTATGTCTATGTCCTGAGTAGCAACTCATTTCTCCTTCCTCTTCCATGCTCTGTCTCGTTTTCTCAGGAAATTTTTATTTGTTTGGGTGTCATTGATACTATATTCCTCTTCAAACATGGCAAAGATGTGGGGAGCTCTGGCATTTTTTTTGGACCAGGGTTTGTCACGTCTAGAGAAAACAGGTTTGACCACGGTTCCTATGCTGTTGCCCCAGTTCATCTCCCAGCCTGTGTGCTTCTTGGTGGTCTGAAGTATGAATCACCTGGCCGGGGGGGTTACTCACTCTGGGTATGAGGGTAATACAGTCTCCTTTGATACATGATGTCAATGAAACATTTAGGAGCGGGGTGTTTCTCTTCCCAGGGGTCTTGGCTGAGATTGGATGTGAACTTCTAATTGTCTGAGCCTTTTAAATGAAGAGACTCAATTCTGAGGGGTGGGTATCCTGGGAGATTGACAGGTGTTAGAATTCTCCAAAGGGAGACCTTCTCAAAGAGCAGAATGTAATACGTTTAGTTTAGCAGCGTTCCCTAGTGCCTAAGAGCCCCTCATGGGATAATGGCGATGGTGAGGATACTTTTGGCCACAGGAGAAGGGATGCATTCATGACTCAGCTAAGAAGGGACTTTCTAAATTCCTACAGTCACCACAGGGTGCTGCCAGCCCTGTGAGGGGACAGGAAGGCAGCACCAGCTCCCTCCTACTATAGCAGGATGGAGTGGGTGCAGGCTTGGGCATGGCTTGCCGCTGTCTCTTGTTTTCTTTTTCCTGACATTTGTCATTCAGGCTGCAGCTGTCAGTGGCCCTCGGAATGTCAAGTCTTTTCTCTGAGCAGATAAAAACCATGCAAGCTTGCACAGGTCATAAAAATGCTCTAGGGTCAAATACTTGGAACTGTTAGACATGGCCTTTCCCCGCTGCCTCTCTGCCCCTAAACATCCATCCCCCTTACTCCTGCTTTGGAAGCAGGCAGCCTTCCCATGAGCTCTCCACAGCTCAGAGACACACAAGCTTCCTGGGGCTATAGAGTTAAGGGAGCAGCGAAGGTGGGCCAGGTGGGGACGCTAACAGGCTGGAGACATATACCCTGTGAAAAGGGGGCCCCCTGAAATATAGAGCCCGTGGTTGCCAGGTCTCCCCATTTTAGAAGCCCGTGGTTGCCAGGTCTCCCCATTTTAGAAGAAAAGTTAGAGAACTAGATTTTTATGTAAAAATCACCCAAATCTTAAATATTTACAGCTGTTCATTCCCCCTTCCTCCCTTCTCTTTTTTTTCAAACTACCATATGGACCAAAGATGTAGGAGGGCCACTTTGGCCGTCTATAGCAAGAAATGGGTTAGCCAGGACCTAGCACCCTGGGGAGTGTTAAGTGAGGATTCTTGTGGAAGAAGAGGCTCTAGCCCCTTCTCTCCCCTCTCCATGTGAGTGGTCCCTGGAGAGTGTTTATCAGCTTGGAACAAATCAGAGTGATGGTTTGCAGGCTTGGGAAGAGCTGCTGAAGTGCTGGCAGTAGTTGATGACAGAGCTAAGAGGCAATTAGATTCCAATTAGTTCAACAGCAGCTCCAGTGGGTGCTTGTAGGTGTTCTGCACCTCCTCTTTTTAGGGGGCCCACCCGGATACCTTTGGTAAGGGGGTGGTGGTAAATGGTAAGTGGGTGGAATCCTAGATCCCAGGAGGGAGCTGCTGCCACTCTACCCTTGCAGCCCCTACTCCCCTTAGGATTCTAGGGGGGCCTTGGCAGGAGCAGGGTGCCCAGGAGGTGACAAAAGTATGAGTGGATCAGGAAGGCTACACAGAGAAACTGATAAGGACCCCAGAAGAAAGGAATGAGGCTTTGGATTTAGAATTGGGGGCAGAAGATAGAGGGACTGACTGGTCCCTAGCAGCTGCAAAGGCTCATAGCTTAGCTTTAGGGGCTTATTTTTTCAAAACTCGAACTAGGTCTTTAAATGTCCACGTGTTGGAAAATGGTTAAGTGAATTATGGTACATCCATATAGTTGAAGAATATGCAACTATGAACCATGAGGTTTATGAAATAAAGTTCTTAGTAATGTGGGGAAATGCTTCTTGTGTAAGTGGGAATAAAAGGATGCAGCTACACGTGGTACAGTACTTCAGCTGTGTGAGATGTGCACACGCCCAGGGTCAGTGCCGTGGGAGAGCATGCCACAACATCCTTCTGTAACGCTGCCTCAGACGTAGGTCATGGCTTCAGTAGAGCCTGCCTTTTACAGGGAAGGGCTGTCGAATCAGGTTATAAGCATCAATTAGTCCCGGCAATAATCCCCTTTTCACCAGATGCTTTTCTTAGGTCATGGCATATCTTGCCCCCACGTCTCGTGACTCAGGGGAAGACACTGCATCTGTTATCCTGGTAGGAGAACGAGTGGGCAAGACGTAGGCAAGAGGGAAGCAGAGGATTTCACAGGTATTAACTAGGCTGTGAGATTTTGAAGCCCAAGGGTCACTGCTGTGTTTCTTCCTCTAACCTTTGCTGGGCATTAGTGGGTGAGGAGTGTGGGCTAAAAGGGTGAAATATGAGTCAGTGGTAACTCCGCCCCTACTTTTCTTATCTGCACAAAAAAAGAAGTCATTGTAGGAGAGGCATGGTGGGAAGTGGTTGCATTCTAGAGCCTTGAAAAAGGGAGGGTGGGGTGAGGAAATTGTCTACTGATGGTTGTTGGCGCCAGGTGAAATCAGGGACTATTTTAAATTCCTGCTGAGATGGGTATGAAATCAAAGCTACTCTGGTTAATATTTCCTCCCCATTTTTCACCCTGATTAGGGCAGCTTTTTCTTCTTGTGTTGGGTTGCAATCTATATACCTTTATATTATCTTAGAGTACAAGTCAACCTTCCCTTCCTTTGTAAGTTTAAGGAATTGTAGGTGTTCGCCTGATGAGCCTGTGCTGGACATGGGAAGGGGCCGAGCACCAAGAAGCTGAGTGGAATATCCTCCCCAAGAGGACAGGGTCAAAGGCGGCTGACCTTCCCTGGTCCTGGTGGTGGGGCGATGCTGACCCTTGGGAGGGCACTGTGAAATGTCCTAATAGGAGAAGGGGTTTTTCACCTGAGCGCATGGGCACCACGAGGGCAGAGGCGTGGCAGCTTCCAGCAGCCCTGGCTCTGTGCTTCACATGGCAGTCCCTTAAAAACAAACCAACTAACAAAAACACCATTTGGCGAAAAAAGAGGCCTATTCTAAAGTAGATCTGGTTATAACATTCAATGTGAGTATATGCATATAGGAATTTACTTCTGACAGTAATCTGAGGGTACTCCCAGAGTTTCTTTCCTTCAGGATTCTTCAGGATTCCTGGGAATCAACAAATGACAAAGTAACTCCTGCAGTAGTATGTAATGTCTTGCCATTATCCTTGAAAATAGATTATATATATTTTTAAGAGATCTATTGTTACATTTAAAGATTAGATACTGGAAGTCTGGGTTATGGCTTTGAAAGTTTTTATCTTAAGATAACAGAAATCTAATAAAGACCTTTAAAATTACTGAATTAAAAAAAAACCCAAACCTGAAACCAAGAGGCTCCACAGTATGACAGGATTAGGATTGATACTTTCTTGAAGATAAAAAAATCTGGTTAATTTTCTTAAAACCTAATCCTGAAATGGAAAATTTTCTATATACTCATATGTGACCAAAACCAATTAAACACTATGAAGTTCCACACACCACTGAATGTGGTTTTAATTCTACATGACTAAACAGATTAAAATAAAATTGCACACATGCCTACCAGCAAAACCACGGGTCTCTGAGCAGGGACAAGCTCCAAAGGTATGTTCTGAGGTTGGGGGGGTAAGGTGGACGTTAAGTTTGCTTTTTAGGTTGTAGCGAGTGTTTGATTCAAGTCACTCCTCACCTGAGCCCCCATTGTTCTAGGGGCTGGACATAGAAGTAAAATATACAAACAGACCAAATGATGCCATTACAGTTTGATATACTGTTTATTTATTTAGTTATTAATATGAACAGCCTATTATGCAATATTACAGATCTTTCAAAACTATAATGAAATATAGTCAGTCCACTATCCAGCCCAGAAGACAATAAACAAGATCATTCTTACAGTGAGTATAGCATAAGCACTCGTAACAGTCCCTTTCTTGGACATCCAATGGGACCATTAGTCTAAAGGTTCTTTACCTCCACTGGGGTTTTAACTTTCTTGAATCATAGCAGTTGCAGAGTCAAGTGTCCATCTTCGATCGCCCTGGAGATGTACACCATCTCATGCCGGAGAGGAAAGAGTTGCTGCTGCCCCTGGCCGCCCATTCTACTGTCCTGCAGTCCTTCCACTCTGGAGCCCATTCTGCCCGTCAGCCAGTATGTGTCAGACGTGGGCACGGGGAAAAGGCAGGTTTGTCACAGGGACATTTTGATTAATTTACAAAGATTGTGTTTCAAAGATCTAAAAACCCATTTGGTGGTGGTAGTGGCAGTGAAGAGTACAGTATATTTCGCCAAGGGGGTCTTGTCTCTTGAGTTTTCGTTCTGTCACCTTTTTTGATAGCCTTTAAGATCTACGGTAGTTCTCTGTGGAAAGTGGAGATGGGAAGCTCTAACTGGTATGAGGCCATCATCTGCAGAATGAACTGGACTGGCTACTATGGCTTTATAACCTGTTTCCTTTCTTTAGTCTAGACAAAGTTATTTTAAAAATTTCCCCTTTATGTCTAGCTAGTTCTAATATAAGATTTAAAAGGACGATGAGAAGAAACTTCTTGCTTTTGAGCTAAATGATGAAAAACAAGAAAAAAATCCATTCTTCAATGAGCTATACTCAATTTTCTTAGTTGAAAACATATGCCAAAGTGACTTTTAAAGACAAATTGTTGGACAACGCTGATTAATTGATGGAAGAAGTCCTGAGGTGAAATTGTACATATATCAGAATCTAAAATATAGCCAAAAAACAAGATGTACTAGTGTAATAGAGATTCTTAACCCTTTAGTTTCATGCTGAAAACTACAAATGTTTTCAACATCCGGCTACTGATGACAGCCAATTACCTATGAAATAAAAAAAACCTCAGGAAATCTTGCCAAGTTTTTGTCAGTTTCAAGAGTCTACATAGTTAGAAAGAAGGAGAAACCATAGGGTAAAGAGTGAGAGCATTGGATTTTATTTAACTCTAGGTACCATGGGTTTGACAATAGTAGGTAAGACTAATGAATGAGCAGCCATACAGTTTTTTGGTCACTGTGCTTCCAAAGCACCAAATAAATGGAGCCATTTTTACTATTCAATTCCATTTTTAATAAGCTAGACAGGTCCTGCTGCATTCTTGTTTGTTTCTAATTTACCAGTACATTATGTAGTTTACCAAGTGTGAGGAGCAAGTCATTATGTAGTACCAAGTTTACATCATCATAGGACTACAACATGCACATTCTACTTAATGTAGCTCAAGCAACAGGAATACAAGAGAACAGTTAGGATGGAGACTTGTTTTTGACAAATTCATGTTCACACTAACTATGGTTTTAGAAATCTTATTGGGCAGGTACCTACAGCAGTTCTTCAATTGGTATTGGAACATTACACGCATGCACAAGTGATATGGAAGAGAATGAAGCAGAAGAGGCAGCTGGATGGAGGACAAAGGGAAAACCAGAGATGGGGTGATGCCACGTGTTAGGGCGGGGCAGTTCTCAGCTTTCCACAGTAAGTCTCTGCTCTGTGAGAGAGGCCTGTTGGGCAACGCTTTTGTTCTCATGACTGCGAAGTTTGGATACAACATCTAGAAAAGACAAATCCTGTACTTCCTTGTGCAGAGATTCTGGAAGACAAAAACAAGATAACAGGTATGTTTCTGTTAGGTTGTTCTAATCTTACTTTGCAATGTAATACATATACCCAAAATGTGTATTGGGATGATGCCATAAAACTAGAAATAATTCTGGAAAAAGACACAGCAGTAGTCTAGAAATGTCTTCATTTTTTTTTTAACTTTAAAAAAAAATTATCATTATTAGTTTCAGTGTACAAAACAATGCACTAGTTATCCTTTTCGCCCCTCACAAAGTGACAACCCCCCTCCCCCATCCACTGCCCCCCCATCCCCGATATCATACTTATCTATTACAATTCCATTGACTCCATTCCCACACTATACTCCACATTTATAGAAATGTCTTCTTTAGAAATATGTTATAATAAAAAAATCAGAGAACCTTTACTTGCCACATTAATATAAAGATAGATAAATCAGATGTCAAGTTCTAACGTGTAAGGTTGATTAAGGTAATGAGTTATAATTAAACACAGCTCATTGTATGATCAGGGTTCAGTTATAAACTCCTATCATCAATTCAAATATGAAGGTCAATGACTTACAGAAAAATCTTAGATCTGTTTCAAATCAACTTTGTGGCAAAAGAAAAAAGGTTATGCTTCATGTCCTTTCAACAAATTTCTGTGACACTAGACTCCCTTTTAAATTTCCTGTCTTCCTCTTTCTGGCTTTCTTGCTCTATTTAACTTCAATTACAGGAAAATATAAGACTCCTCTGAAGACTATAAAAACTGCTACATGGGGAAGACTAAAGTCCAGTTAAGTTTAATGCAATCGGCGTTCTTCAAACTGATGTATTTATTTTAATAAGATTGAGGTCTAAAACTAGGACCAATGTTTTTAGTAGACATAGAAAAATCCATCCTAAAATTCAGATGAAATCTTAAGGGATTCCAAATATCCAAACCAATCTTAAAAAGAAAAACAAAGTTGAAGGTCTCACGCTTCCTAATTTCAAAACTTACTAAAATGCTACAATAACCAAAACAGTTTGGTGCTCGTATAAAGACAGATATATAGACCAATGGAATAGAACAGAGCCCAGAAATAAACCCTCATTTATGTTTCAAATAACTTTTTTTTTTTTTTAAGCTGAGCCATCCTGCCACCTGTTGGCAGCTCAGCTCAGGCCGGACTCGAAGCGCTGTTGCTCAGAGCTCAAACCTTTGAGCGAGCTCTTAACCAACTGAGCCACTCAGCCGGCCCCTCAAATAATTTTTGATTAGGGTGTCAGTACCATTCAATGAAGAAAGGATAGTCTTTTTAATAAGTGGTACTGGAAAAACTGAATATCCACAAGCAAAAGAATGAGGGTGAACCCTTACATTATATACAAAAATTAAATGTAAGAGCTTAAACAATAAGATTCTTAAAAGAAAACATAAGGGGAAAAACTTCATGACATTGGATTTAGCAATGATTTCTTATTAATCCTTTCGTTGTACCAAAAGCACAGGCAACAGAAGGAAAAATAGATAAACTGGAGTTCATCCAATTTAGAACTTCTGTGTATCAAAGGACAGTATAAAGAGTGAAAAAGCAACCAACCCATGGAGTAGGAGAAAATATTTGCAAATCATATATCCAATGGGGGATTAATATCCAATACATATAAAGAATTACTCCAACAGAACAACAAAAAAACAATTCGATTAAAAAATTGGCAATGAACTTGAATAGGCAGTTCTCCAAAGAAGATACACAAATGGCAAATGAGCATATGAAAAGATTCCCAACATCACTAATCATTAGGGAAATGCAAATCAAAACCACAGTAAGATACCATCTCATACCCACTAGGATGGCTATTATAAAAAAAAACACCAGAAAATAACAAATGTTAGTGAGGATGAAGAGAAATTGGGACCTATGTGCACTGCTGGTGGTAATGTATGTAAAATGAAGCAGTCACTGTGGAAATCAGTATGATGGTTCCTCAAAAAATTAAACATAGAATTACTATATGACCCAGTGATTCCACTTCTGTATATATACCCAAAATAACTGAAAGCAGGGACTCAAACAGATATTTGTGCACCCATGTTTTCATAGTGGAATTATGCACAATAGCCAAAAGGTATAAAAAACCCAAAGGTCCATTGATGGATGAATAAACAAAATGTGATATATACATGCAGTGGAACATTCAGCCATAAGAAGGAATGAAATCCTGACTGTAACACATGCTACAACATGGATGAACCCTGAAGACATTATGCTAAATGAAATAAGCCAGACACAAAAGTACAAATATTGTATGATTCCACTTATATGAGGTACTTAGTCAAATTCAATAACAGAAAATAGAATGGTGGTTTCTAAAAGCTGAGAAGATGTGTGATTGGGGAGTTATTGGTATGGACTATAGACTTTTAAGTTGGGAAAAGAAAAAGGTCTGGAGATGGATGGTGGTGATTGTTGAATGGCAATGTCAATGTATAATGTCACTGAACTGTACACTGTAAAATGGTTAAAACAGAAAATTTTATGTATATTTTACATTAAAAACGTCTCAACAATTACGAACATGCTAGAAACAAATGAAAAAAACATACAGAGTTTCAGTAAAGAAACGGAAGATATAAAGAAAAAGCAAATGGAAAATTTAAAACGCAAAACTATATATAGTACCTGAAATAAAAACTCAATGGATAGGCCCAAGAGCAGAATGAAGGGGACAGAAGAAATAATCAGTAAACTTTAAGAAAGAATAATAGCAATTATCAAATCTGAACAACAGAGAAATAATAAACTAGAAAAAAACTGAACAAAGCCTCAGGTACCTGTGTGATATAACTAAAGACCTCACATTTGTGTCACTACGGACCTGAAAGGAGAGGAGAAGTATGTTGGGGCTGAAAAAGAACCTTAGGAAATATGGTTAAAAACTTTCCAAATTTAGCAAAAGACATGAAGACACTCGGCAAATCTTAAACAGGATAAACCCAAAGAAATCCATGCCAAGGCACATTATAGTCAAACTTTTGAAAACTAAGACAAAGAAAAAATCTTGAAAGAAAGACAGAAATGACACCTTACAGGGGGAAAAAAAACCAAGTAGGAGGACAGTGGATTTCTCTCAGGACTAGGAGAGGTAGCTATTCCATCCAACTCATAGGAACAAACATAGAAAGTCAAACAAAATGGGAAAACAGAAGAATGCCCAAATCAATGAGAAAAAAGCCCCCCAAAACTCCAGAGGAATACCCTAATGAAACAGAGATAATTTGCCTGATAAAGAATTCAAAGAAATGCTCATAAGGATGCTCAACACACTTGAGAGTACAACAGAGGAACTCAAAGAGCACTTCAACAAAGAGATAGGAAATGTAATAAAGAGCAATCAGCAATGAAGAATACAATGACTGAAATGAAATACATGAGAAGAAACTGAAAGCAGATTAGTTAGTACAGAAAATGGATTAGTGATCTGGAAGACAGAGGAGTGGGGATCAGCCAATCAGAAGAGTAAAATTAAAAAAGAGTTTAAAAAGTGAAGATAGTGTAAGAGATCTCTGGGATAGCATCAAGTGCCCTAACATTCTCATTATAGGGATTCCAGAAGGAGAAGAGAGAGACAAAGGGGCAGACAGAGTATCTGAAGAAATAATTTCTGAAAACTTTCCTAATCAGTGGGAAGAAACAGAAACCCAGGTCCAGGAATCAAAGAGAATTCCCAATAAGATGAACCCAAAGAGACTCACACTAAGACATAATGTAATTAAAATAGGAAATGTTAAGGATAAACAGGCAACCTTAAAGGCAGCAAGAATGAAACAAGTCACATACAAGGGATTTCTCAGAAGCAACGTGACCAGAAGGGAGTAGCAGGAGATATTTGAAGTGCTGCATGAAAGGGATCTACAACCTAGGATAATACATCCAGCAAGATTACTCAGAATTGAAGGAAACATAAAGAATTCCCCAAATAAGCACAAACTAAAGGAGCTCATAACCACTAAACCAGGCTTACAGGAAATGTTAAAGGGTCTTCTTTATGCAGAAAAGCCATAACCAGAAATAAAAAAATAGAGAAAAGGAAAAAGAAAACCTCACCTATAAAGGCAAATATACAATAAACACAGTGAATCAACCACTTAAAAAGCTAATATGAAGGTTAAAAGACAATAGTAGCAAAATTATAGCTAAAATAATTAGGGGATATACAAAACAAAAAGATATAAAACATGATGTCAAAAACAAAGAGTGAAGAGGGGAGCAAAAATGTATTACTTTTGGACTACAATTGAACTTAAATGCCTATCAGCTTAAAATAGAAAGCTATAGATATAGATATAGATATGAACCTCGTGGTAAAGATTCATAGAAAACATACAAAAAATACACACACACGAAAGAGCAAGAAATCTAATCAAAACACTAAAGAAAACCAACAAATTAAAAGTGAAGGAATCAACAGAAGAAACAGTGAAGAACAAAAATAACCAAAAACCAATTAACAAAATGGCAGTAAGTATATACTTATCAATAACTACTTTAAATGCAAATGGACTAAATGGGTATAGAAGGAACTTACCTCAATTTCATAAAGGCCACATAAGACCAACCCACAGCTAACATCACACTCAATGGTGAAAAGCTGAAAGCTTTTCCTCTAAGATCAAGAACAAAACAAAGATGCCCATTCTCACCACTATCATTCAGTATAGTACTGGAAGTTCTATCCACAGCAATCACACAAGAAAAAGAAATAAAAGGCATCCAAATTGGAAAGGAAGAAGCAAAACTGTCACTATTTGCAGATCATATGATACTATATATAAAAACCCTAGAGTCCACCAAAAAATAACATAATTAAAGAATTCAGTAAAGTAGCAATATACAGAAATCCATCACAATCAGAAGGAGAAATTAAGAAAACAATTTCATTTATAATTGCATCAAAAAGAATAAAATACCTGAGAATGACTTTAACTAAGGAGGTGAAAGACCTGTACTCTGAAAACTATAACACAGCAAGGAAAAAAACTGAAGAGGACACAAATAAATGGAAGGATATACCATGCTCATGACTAGAAGGACTAATACCATTAAAATGACCATACTACTCGAAGCAATCTACAGATTCAATGCAATTCCTATCAAAATACCAATAACATTCTTCTCAGAACTGGAACAAATAATCCTAAAATTTATATGGAACCACTAAAGACCACAAATAATAGCCAAAGCAATCTTGAGAAAGAAGAACAAAGTTGGAGGTATCATGCTTACCAGGTTTCAAACTATACTACAAACCTATGATCAACAGTTTGGTACAGGCACAAAAAGAGACACAGATAAATGGAACAAAATAGAGAGCCCAGAAACAAACCCTCGCTTATATGGTCAACTAATCTATTTACAAACAAAGGAGGTAAGACTATACAATGGAGTAATGACAGTCTCTTCAACAAGTGGTATGGGAAAATTGGACAGACACATGCAGAAAAATGAAATTGGACCACTCTTTTATACCAGATACAGAAATAAACTCAAAATGGTTTAAAGACTTAAATGTAAGACCTGAAACCATAAAACTTCTAGAAGAAAACATAGGTAATAAACCATATGACAGCAGTCTGAGTAATATCTCTTTGGATATGTCCCCTTGAGCACCGGAAACAAAAGCAAAGATAAATAAATGGGATGTCATCAAACTAAAAAGCTTCTGCACAGTGAAGGAAACCATCTATAAAACAAAAAGACAACCTACTGAATGGGGGAATATATTTGCAAATGATATATCCAGTCAGGAGTTGATATCCAAAATATGTAGGAAACTCACACAAATCAGTAACAAAAAAAATAAATCATCTGATCAAAAAATGGGCAGAGCATATGAAAAAACATTTCTCCAAAGAAGACATACAGGTGGCCAACAGACATATGAAAAGATGCTCAACATCACTAATTATCAGAGGAATGCAAATTAAAACCACAATAAGATACCACTTCACATCATTCAGAATGGCTATTATTAAAAAGTCAACAGATAATGTGTTGGCAAGGATGTGAAGCAAAGGGAATCCTTGTGCACTGTTGGTGGGACTGTAAATTGGTACTGTCACTGTGGCAAACAGTATAGAGATTCCTCATAAAACTAAAAATAGATCTACCATACGAACCAGAAATTCTACGTCTGAGTATTTATCTGAAGAAAGCGAAAATATTAATTCAGAAAGATAAATGCACCCCTATACTCACTGCAGCATTATTTATAATAGCCAAGATATGGAAACAATCTAGGTGTCCAATGACAGATGACTGGATAAAGAACATGGTATATACCGGGGGTGCCAAAAAATGTATTCACATGACTTCTATTCATCTTTTGTTATTGGTATATATTATTACAATTTTAATACAATTTTTTCCTATCTTAAAGTGTATACATTTTTTTGGCACCCTCTGTACACACACACACACACACACACACACACACACTAGAATATTACACAGCAATAAAAAAGAATGAAATCTTGCCATTTGCTACAACATGGATAGACCTAGATGGTATTATGCTAAGTGAAATAAGTTGAACAAAGACAAATACTGTATGGTTTCACTTATATGTGGAATCTAAAAAAATGAAACAAATTAACAAATGAAACAAAAACAGACCCGCAGAAACAGGGACCAAAGGGACAGTTACCAGAAGTGAGGGGCTGAGGGGATGGGTGAAAAAGGTGAAGGGGAATATAGTCAATAATAATGTGGTAAGTTTACATGATGACAGAGGATTACTAGAATTAGTGGGGTGATCACATTGTGAGGTATAAAAATGTTGAGTCACTATATTGTACACCTTAAACTAATATAACATTGTATATCAACTAGAGTTAAATAAAAAACTGCAACAAAAAAACCACACATGATCCAACAATATGTTGTTCACACATCAAATATAATGTTACAGCAGACTGAAACTAAAAGGGTGAAAAAAAATCATGTCAATGTTATTCAAAAGAAAGTAGGAATAGTTGTTTTAATAATATCAGATAAAGTAGACTTCAGAGCAAAGAAAATTACCAGAGATAGAGAGGAATAGTGCCTAATGATAGAAAGGTGAATCCACCAAGAGGGTATAGTGATCCTAAAGTTGTATATACCTACCAACAGAGCTACAAAATATGTGAAGCAAAAACTGATAGGACTGAAAGGAGAAATGGATCAATCCACCATTAGAGTCGAAGACTTCAACACCCCTCTCTTAACAACTGATAGAACATTTAATTAGAAAATCAGCAAGAATATAGAAAACAATACCACTACCAACCAAATGGATGTAGCTGACACTTAAAGAACATTTCACCCAATAATGGCAGAATACACATTATTTTCAATTGTCCATGGAACATAAACCAAGATATGCTAATGATTTCTTGAACAAATTCTTTAGCTAATACCATGGCATACAAAATCAGAACTTGTTCTTCATATAAAATAATATTTTAGGGTTGATGAAACTTACAGGTATTGATTTTTAACATTGATTTTGCCTATATTTGCCATAGGATACGTTTTATTATCATAGTAAGAATCTTTTGGGAATATTTTCAATGTAAAGGTAATCCTATAACCTCCATAAACTAGATTCTAATGCTTTAAAACTTAAATCCACCATTTACTATTATTCTATATTTAATAAAGTCAAACATATGTTGATGGACACACATCAAATGATAGAAGAAATACTTACCAGATCCCATGAGAGCACAGATCAGGACCATGGAATTATATTTGATTTCAGGAGCACTTCTCTCATCTGCTAGTAGTCTATGTAAAATCTGTACAAGTTTAGCACTTTCTAGATCTTTCTCAGCAGAGCCTAGAACATGAAAAAAATTAAAGTATCAGTTATATTCACTGTGTATTGTATCCCAGTGCAACCTGGCTAGATACTGCTTTCCTTTCTAGAAACTGACCATGTGAAAACTTCCAAAGAGACTGATAAATAATGACCTAGATATAGAGTATTTAATTCAGACCTTGTTAAAAAAAATAGATAGAGCTTACTTTCAGCAGACATTTCAGGAGTTTAGGCTAGGCTTAAAATTAGGAATTAGAATATTCCTTTAAATATGAGGCAATTAAAAATCTTTATTATGAAAAATGTTAAATATATACAAAAGCTGAAGAGATGGTAAAATGATACACTATGTACTATCATCATCTTCATAAATTATGGCCAAACTTGTTTCATCTAACTCTAGTCTTATCCACCTACTCTAATCCATCCCAAATTATTTTGGAGCAACTCCTATAAATCACATAATTTCCTCTATATAGTATATTTCAGTATGTATCTTTAAGAGATAAAGAATCTTAATTCTTATCAAAATTGCAGCAAGACTTTCTATCAAAAATAGATAAGCTTATACTAAAATTTATATGAAAAACTACAGGCCCTACAAAGAGGTAAACAGTCTTGATAAAAAAAGAATAAAGTGGGAGGAATTCTCCTACCCAATATTAAGGCTCACTATATAGCAAGCACAGTTATCAAGACATTGTGGTATGGTTGATAGATACATAGATTATAGGAACTCAATACAGGACCAAAAAAATAGACTCAAACAGAAATGTTCTTTGACAAAGGTCCAAAATCAATTCAATGGAGGAAAGACAGCCTCTTCAACAAATAATGCTGGCAATTAGGCAGCCACAGGCAAAAAAAGGAACTCTGACCTAAACCACATACCTTCTATACATATTAACTCAAAGAGGATCACAGACTTAAGTGTAAAATGTAAAACCATAAAACTTTTAGAAAATACGAAGAATTCTCAAAACTTAAGAGTGAAAAAAATTAGAAAAATGAAACAGGCATTTCACCAAAGAACACATAGGATGGCAAATAAGCACATGGAAAGATGTTCAACATCATTACCATTAGAAAAATATAAATTAAAACCACAATGAGATATCTCCATATCTCCACATAGCTATCAGAATGGCTAAAATAAAAAACAGTGACAACACTAAATGCTGGTGAGGATGTAGGGAATACTAATCACATATACAGTGCTGACGGGAAGGTAAAATGGGACAGCCACTCTGGAAGGCAGTTTGACAGTTTCTTAAAAAAATTAAACATACAGTTACCACATAACCCAGCAATTGCACTCCTAGGCATTTATCCAGAGAAATAAAAAAATTCACGTTCACATAAAAACCTATACATGAGTGTTCATAGCAACTTTATTTTTAAAAGCCTCCAAGTGGAATCAGCCCAGGTGTCCTTCAACAGATGAATGGTTAAACAAATTGTGGCACATACATGCCATGGAATACTATTTAGCAATAAAAAGCTATTGCAACACAAAACAAATTGGATGCCTTTAGAAAATTATGCTGAGCGAAAAAAGCCAATTCCAAAAAGTCACATGCTATATATAATGTTATTTATATAACATTTTTGAAATGAAAATATTTTAGAAATGAAGGGTGGATTAGTGGTTTCCAGGGATTAGGAGCAAGGTGGGAGGTAGGGGTAGGAGGTAGGTGAGTGTTGTTATAAGTGGATGGATATTTGTGGTGTTAGAACAGTTTAGTATCGACTGTGGTGGCTGATACATAAACCTACACGTCAACTAATTGCATAGAACTTTACATACAAATGAGTACAAGTAAAACTGGGGAAATCTGAATAAGATAGCTAAATTATATCAATGGTTGGACTATTTTACTACTTATAGTTTTGCAAAATGTTCCCATTGGGAGAAACTGGGTAAAGTATACAAGGGATTTCTCTGTAGTATTTTTTTTACAACTGCATGTGAATCAACAATTATCTAAAACTAAAAAAGGTAAGGACTCTTATAAATGTTGTTTTAATACTACTGTCATACAAAAAATTGATAATGATAATTACTTAATGAATAGCCTATAAGGAAACAAGGCTGGAAAAATACGGTTTTCAAAATGTGTATTAAAAAGGTAGTATGGGCTTCCTTATATAACTTAAGTTCAAGGAGCCTAGGAAACACTAAACAACAATAAAATCAATGTATGTATTGTCATTGTATATAGTCCTACGGTAAGGTGACCAGACCCACGCAAATGTCCAGCTATCAGAAAGAAGCTGACAAAACTATAGCTGTTTGGGAGACACCTTGTTTGGAAGGCACAAAACCAGATTTGCCCCAGGATGGGAGGTCAAAGATATTCTGAAAATACTCCATTACTTTAAGCCATTTAAAATCAGGCTATGAACCCAGTTTGACTTAATGCCCTCCCTGACTCACCCTTTCAGCATAGCTTCCACCCCTTATAGGTGTCTGGGCTTCTAGACCGACTCACCTCATCTATTCCAGCCACGTGAAAAATCACAGGCTAGGCCAGAACGCGAACTGACCTCCACAGGAATCTTGAACTATAGAGCAAAGTCGCTGATGGTAAGCATATATTTTCTTGAAGTCTTTTATTTTAGCTTTAAAATTCAAGAAAATTTGACATCTTACTTACACCTTTGATTTTTAAAAAAAAATATGAATTGTTTTAAAATTCACAACCCTTTATTTAAGAGGACAAAAATTCAAAATCTCTCCTACCCCAAATCTGAGTAAATCTGATACTGGAGGAAGATATACCATATTTATCTCTTGGCTTCTCCTTCTTGAGATAGGGTGGGGGGCACACCTGCCCCAGTGTGAGAATTATGGACATAAATTACCAGTGGAAATTAAGAGGTGTTTAGTTACCCAGTATTTACCCACAATGCTTTGAAGAGGACACATACTAAGTCTACAGTCCTCCTTTGTGTAAGGCAGCCTCAGGCCTGAACCACAGCCCACATGATTCTGATTGTCCCCAGCTGATTATATCAGAGATTGTTTCCTGAGACAAAGGTTGCTACCCATAAGCTAGACGCCTATGAGCTAGCGTCTCATGAAGAATTATGACCAATAGGGGTGCTATATGCTAGACAGAAACTTATCCGAATGATTTAAACTCTGCTTTTGGGGAATTTTGAAAGTGAAACATACAGGAGAGTGACACAGAAGGTGAATATTCAGAATGAAGGAAATACTATTAATACAAGCAATAGAAATCATTGTGATAGAGACAAAGAAGTTAGCAAGATAGAGTATTTAGGAGCAGAGATGACAGGGGTCAGCAAACTTTTGAGATGGAAGAGCCGCCAAGGGTCAGCAAACTGCGGCTTGCGAGACACATGTGGCTCTGAAGTAAAATTGAAAATGAAAATAGAACTATCATAGTTTCATTTATAATATTACTTTAGATTTTTCCTTATTTGTAAAAATATATTTATGGCTCTCAAATAATTTTTAAATTGTTGTGAGGGACAGGATTGGCTGTTCCAGGGGTCGGCAAACTTTTGAGATGGAACGTACCCAAAGAGCTGCATGTGGCTCGCGAGCTGCAGTTTGCTGACCCCTGGATAGAAAGAAGGTCTGGATCGCTGGAAAAGCAGGAAACTAAACTTGCTGTTGTATTCTAAATATTGTTTCATTTCTTTGTGAGACCTGCTGGAAAATGATTCCCTAAGTGCCTATAACTTGAGATAACATTTAAGAGTCAAACTAATCTTAAAGCATTGCCCTAAAAATGTTACCAAAAAGGGAACAGCTGTGGAGACAATCTATAGAATATGATTTTCCATATACTCAGATATAAGTACAGATACACACTGGCAAAACACTTCTGGTCAAGGTTGTCTGACTTCTTTTCCACTTCTGTGCTTCCTTTCATCCAAGATAAAAATAGGAGAAAATAAGTTTGTCACTGGGTACTTACCCAGTTCTAAAGCTGCAATTAGTGCCAAAGCAACGAGGGCTTCATTCTGCATTATTACATGTTCACTAGTTGCCATGGTAACTAGATGCTTGATGCCACCACTCTGTACAATGGTTTTAATTACATCCTACAATAAATAAATACAAATGAAATAAACTTTCATTTTAAACGTAAAGAAGCTACTTTATAAGCAGTCAATTGATTGTTGAGTGGTTTTCTAACAATGTTCTATATGAATCATTACATTTAATAATTTTATCTTTATAGAAAGGAAAAGCTTTTAGCTTTAAATAAACTCATCAAAAGATGACAATTTAAATTACCTAACTGAAAAAGACCATTGCAGTTCATTTATATCAAGGAATAGAGTCCCAGAAGCTACCAAAGTCAAAGAAATACAAGTACCATTGACTCAAATGTTGACCTACCGCAGGATCTACAAAAGAGAATAAAACTTGATAACAAATGAATTCTTTTTTCCCCCAAACTTTTATTATAGGTATTGTTCTCCAGCTGCTCTAGGTAAAACATTAAAAAAAAAAAAAGCTTTTACCCTTTGTTGTATCTGACAAAACTGGGTTACATACAAAAGGCCATGAGCAGAACTTAAATCAAAATTCTCCGTGTTCCTCATTTCTCATGCTAACTACAGATCCGATGGCAAAGGAGGCAGTGAGCTCCAGGCTGAACAAATCCCACCACCGATACTGACTTTGAGCAAATTACTGAACTGCTGTGCATCTCAGTGAGTTTGTCTATAATGTTGGGATAATATAAGCGCATATCTCATAGGTTTCTGTGATAATTATAAAGTTACATGAAAAGCACATATAGCAAAGGTTAGATGAAAAAAAGTTCACATTTATTTCTAATACCCACTTTTGTTTTCATTTCTGGGTTTTGTTGCCTAAAAAATCTTGGATTAAATATGATTTAGTGGAAAGTCTCAATTATAGAATATTTTTAAAGTAATTTTCTTTGCTACTTTTCACTATTTTTAGTAATTTGAAGTAAGCTGGATATTTTAAGTAGCCTGTCCATGTTAGCGTCAATGGTACAAAACTAACTGCAATTAGTAATATTTTTCAAATTAATTCGGTAAAATATTTGAAAAAGGGTTTCCTTTATGTTTCCATCTTACGTAAATTTTTAAGAAAACTATTTATAGACAGTATCTTTGTCCAATCTTGTTTTGTAATCAAACATTCTAAATCAATGGAAACCACTGATTTAGTAGTGAGTTTTTCTGGTAGCTGTGTTCTAGCATCTAAGTCTTTTCCCAACAATCTCTTTTAGAAAGTGAGGAACTCCCTTCACTTTAAAGCCTTTCCTAATGAAAAGAAAGTTTCCCAATATACTGCTTACTGGGTGACAGTTTATTTGAAACTGATATAGAAATCTTAAAATTAGTAAAGATTTTTACAAAAATCACTAAGAAACTTATTGAGTCAAGACCACAGAGATTCTTAGGTACAGTCATCTAGGGAAGGTTCCTGGACTGTCATCTTATCCTCTATTTTGTAACTCATCCTGAAAAGTCCACTGTAGTAGAAGGAAGGGTAGGGAATGAATGAAGGAAATTTGTACATCAGAAACAAACAGCCCCCCGTTAAGTCCAGGCATAGCTTCTCTCCATCATACTTTTCTGGAACAGATATCTAAGTAGTTCCTTTTCAAATGCCTGCCCTCTCTCCTCCTACTTCAATAAACGCTGACCGAATAGCTCTATAGAGTTGCTTTGCCTGACAGAATGGGGGATAAAAGATAAATGAAGCATTGTACTTATGTCATATGACAAAAGAGAATTAATAATACTGATAGCTACCCTTTATGAAGCAACAACTATACACTGGATATTGTACTGGGTAGCTTATAGATTATTAGCTCATTTTTATCCCCACAGAGAATCCCATTAGCTAGATATTATCTGTATAGATGAAGAAACTGAAGCTCAGATTAAGTTATGAAATTTTCCCAAAGTCAGTTAACAAGCCAAGATTCAAATCTAGGCATTCTGACTAGTAGGTCCTTGTTCTTAACCATTTGTAGTCTATGCCAAAATTTATGTGCTGAATTCATCAATGTGAATCTTCCCCTTCTCCTGAGAGATTCTAAGTTAACCTCTGAAACATCGCCTCTTCTGTGAAACTCAGATAAAGCTGGGTTCTCTGCAGTTGTACACACGTGAAATGGTCAAAAGGCTCACCTTACAAGACGTTACAAAAAAATAAAAGGTATATAATCTAGATACTGAGTCAGCTGCTGAACCACTGGCCTGGGCTTTCACCATTGTGATCTTTAAAATAGTTCATTTGTTCATTTATTCATTCAACAGATATTTATAGGTTATTGGCCATGTGCCAGACACATAATAAGCTGGATACTGCCATGAGAATAGACTTGGTCCAACTTTCTGAGTTCTGGGCATCATATACTATCGAGATATCACTGAATTTCTAAATAACAGTAGCTAGCTTGGCCAGTGCCTAGCACACAGAAGACGACTGACACTGATGCTGGTGCTGGTGGTGCTGCTGGTGGTAAAAATGATAATAACAGCAACAGCAGCAACCTCCACTTACTGCATGCTAACTGCGTCCCAGGTACTGGCTGAGCACTTCGTGTGTGTGACCTCATTGTATCATCCTCACACTTTCAAGTAGGTATTAACCCAGTTTTTATATATTAAGATACTGATAAAATATGAACTCATTTCTGTTTGATTCCATTCCAAAGCCATACTCTTAACGATTATGGGACAGAACTAAATAAAAAGGCTCAATCTTCAATTTTTTTCCAGAATTTTTGAATAATGTGCTTATACATAAATACATAAAAATGCAAACTTATGATGTAGGATCTACAATACTGGGTTTCCAAAAAGGCCACTCAAATGTGTTTTAGTGAACGTTTCCTCTGGAACTTACTTTTGATTTACTGTGTCGTATGAGGGCAGAGAGCAGTCTGTTTGACTCCCCCATCACACCAGCATGATCTTTGGCTTCACACCATTCCACCAAACGCTCCACTAATTTAACATTCTTTCCCAGTTGTTCAGCGGCTTCTGCTATAGGAAAGAAGGCAAACCACAAAGGAATGAATCACTGATAGGCAATCAACTGAAATAATTGGTAAAGACGTAACACTGTGAAATTACATGCCTAATAAACACAATGATATTATTAAAGCAGTAACTGCAAATACAGTAAGTATTCCATGTCTGATGGACTATTGGGCCTTTTATATAAAGTTGTGGACTTTCATACAAAATACAAAAATAAACATCATATTCTTTCGGGTCAGCCTGGTAGTCTGTTGGTACTCTGGCAAATCGTAATGAAGGTTTTTCAGGACTCTAAGGAATCAGTACAAAGGTTTAGAGTTTAGAAATAAGTAAACATACATAATTCATTCCATGGAGTGGTTTTCATTGTTGTTTCTATAAACAGAAAAATGATCTTCCTGTTTGCAGAACAAATTTTTAAAAATTTTGACTATCACTGTATTGAAACATGTTGATTTTGAAGACATGGTGAAAATGGGTATGAAATGCTAAAACTTAAACCCTAAGGAACTGCTAATAAATTAACTTAAAAACAGGATTATATGCACTAATAAAGAGAAATGCAATATATTTCCATTTAAAGTCAATTACAACAAGCATGGGAATTAATGAATAGGTTCTAAAACCAATCTCTTTTTGCCTTTTATTTGCTATTTATCTTTATGATTACACAATTCTGAAAGCTAAAAACAGGTCCTATTTCAACTAGAGGCACACTGAGACTATCAAGTCAAAAAGGCACCTTGGGAAAGCATTTCTTTTACCTTGAGCATCTATTAACATTCTTAACGTTCCCAGAAGTTTGAACTGAACCGGCGGCATTTCAGATTTAAGGAATTTCAAAACTGCCTCTGTGACCCCAGCTGATAACATCTTTGCTTTATTTACAACTACAGAAAGAAAGAGAGAGAAGGAAAGGGAGAGGGAGAGGGAGATGGAGAGAGAGAGAAAGGCACTATGGTTAAAATGGTGTTAGCGTTCTTGATTATATGAATCATTCAATTCAATACATTACACATTCACACATTTATTAAGGTTCTTATTATCTTTAAGGCCTCGTTATAGTTTTCTATTAAAAAAAAAATCTTGTATCCTGTTTGTGTATCAGAGCATAACACACGAAATCATACTTACTGGCTTTTTAAACCTAACTTCCAAATACTTCCTTAAATAATTTGTAAAGGGAATCTGACAATGTTGCCTTATTTACAAAAAGCACAATTCTTTAACTTTACTAGATATTTCCTCTGTCCTTGACCCAGCTGTGTTATAGCTGTTATAGACATTAATAAACAACATTAATCTGCTATATGAACCAAACTGAATTCATATAGTTTTGTTATTTCTCCTAATTGGAAAGTTACTATTAGAAATTATAATAAAGGAATAGTTTAAACCATCTCTTGTATTATTTCCTATGGTAATGTGATTTCATGGCTCAAAAACCTTTAATCCAAAAAGACACATTAACGGCAATTTAAAAAAATCGTATGTCTGCTTGTAGGGAAAACAAGCCAACCTTAAAAGTCATTCTTTAGGGGACTCTGTTAATTGATGCCATTGTCTTACCTCAAGTGAAGATGCTTTAAAAAGCTTACTTATACAATATAATGAAAATCTTAGTTCACAAAAGGTAACAGAATAAAATGTTCACTGAACAAAAGCAAAGATTATGTTTGCATAGTCTTAGAAAACTTATTTAACATAGGATCTCCATTTATCAGTAAAAAAAAGGTAAACAATTTGAAGACTGTTTTTTTTTTTTTTCTTTTCTTGGTCAAGGCAGGTCCACAAATCACATAAAGTAAATATCTTTCCCAAACAATAGATTTTATTGCTTACATAGTGGCCTCCCATTTTTAAGTCTTACCTGGAATGGCCAGGTTTCTGAGGGCACTTAGTGCTGCATGCTGTACCGTCACATTTCCATCTTCCACATGTCTGTCCAATAAATCCATAAGTTTTTCTACAATTCCATTGTCTACCATGTGGATACAATTTCCATCTGAAGAAAATTAAAGCATTTTTTCTTCCTCCGTACAAACCACTATAAATACTTCGTGATACTGACGCCCGCCCATTATCTACATTAGTGAAAATGGAGCCTACATTAGGAAAATAAAACGAATTCTAACTCTTCCAATAGGTTTATAGTTGTTCTTTTTTTTTTTCCTGTGTGAGAAATCCAATAAGATTGTTAAAATAGATAAAAATTTAAAATTAAGAAAACTTTCTAGCTTAAACTGATACTATATCAGAAGATGAGTAAAACGAAATCTCTTGTTTAAAATGTCTACCAATAGCTTTCATTTATAGTGAAGTACGCCTGAGTTCTGCCAATGTTACAGAGACAGTATTCCACATTGTGTTATCATGACTGATAGTTAAATTACTTTTCAATGATAGAATTTTTTAAACATTTATAAAGTAGAGAGTATTATAACAAACCACTATTTAGCTTCAACAATTATCAACAAGTATTTTGCCAGTCTTAATTCCATCATTAAGGAGTTAATGATGGTCCCCCAAAAGAAGGAAGTGAAAATGGAATAAGTCATCCATTATAACAACAGTTCATACTGGAATAAAATCAAACTAAACACAAAAGTAACCCATATTTCCTAGAGATAGTATGAGTTTCTAGGCTAATAGCAGGAGTATCAGGCTTCAGACATAAACATGGAGGTCTGGTGCCTCTGAAATATTATTAGACTAAATTAAATATTCTACCCCAAACCAGAGAATTAGCCACACTTAACTTCTGTAGGCATAAGTATAAATTAAAGCACAATAACCTTACAACGAATACTCAGATTATTAAATCTAAAATAAAAGCACCAGGCAAGAGAGCATATCTTCCCAGATGATGTTTATAAGAATGGGACTCAAGGTTACTATTCTCTGAAGTGCAGAGTACTAAGAGAAGGACTTCATGATCACTGTTCATGATCTTTCAATTACTAGAACTTAGCCAAACTGCATAAAATATGTAAATTGTTAGGAAAATCATAACTATTTCAAATCTCTTAAAAGTTAAGGTAGCAGTACACATACATACTATGTATAATTATGAACTGTTCCAGTTTTAGTGCATGTAATGGCAAAGCAAAAATTAAAAAATATACAACATGTGAGTTTAAAAAATGAAATAATACGCTTACCATTTCTGGCAAAATTTGCAATTGCCAATGCTCCAGCAAGCTGCAGTTGATGGTTATTTGATGGAATCCAGGACAGCACTCTTTGAAACACATTACCTTTTCCTCCTTCAAATAATTTCTGCATAGATTCATCTGGGGGTAAATGAAACAGACAAAAGGAAAATACTTAGAAGTAACAAATTCATATTCCTGTGTTAATATCCAAGTAGGAAACTATAGACTTCAAAAACTAAAATTCATAAAGGAAAAAGCAATGACTCTTTTTATAATAAATTTTTTGTAGCGACGGGACAAGAGAGCTTAGAATTTTCCCAGTCTAAGTCCCAAGCAGCCACCTTTTACTCCCTCAGTGCCACAGCTGTCTCTTCTATATGACAGCTCTCTAAATACTGAAAGATAATGAAGACTCCTCTTTTCCAGGTTCATTATCTCTAGTCCTCTCCATGATATGTTTAAGGTTTCAAAATCATCACATCAACAGGATTAAATGAGATAGGAAAATGAGAAAATGCCTACTATTAGGTCTTCGGAAAAGTCATGACGCATGTTTGTGACAGATGGCACTAGTTCATTTTTGGAAGTACTAGAGTCATTCGCATCTATGTTATTGCTATGTCATTTGACAGCGGACAGTTCTAGTTTCATTCT